CATCAACAAATTCCATAAATTATTTATTCCCTCCAATCGATGCTACTGGAAATGGACCACACACATCATAATGCACTACTCTCAAGACATATTTTTCTCTTGGAGATACTTCTGACGCAAATGACAATCTTGGTTGCTTCCCTTTCATGCACACCTTACATGACTTCTCAGGCTTCTTGATTGTAGGAATTCTATGTACCAACTTCTTCGATTTCAGATGCCCAAAGCTTCTGAGATTCAGATGACCAAATATTTTTGCCATAGCTCATTCTCCTTGACAACACTTATTGCACTAAGACTTTAAGAGTCTACAGTTCTAGCATTCACCTTAAATGTTCTGTTCCTTACCTATTCTGACTCCATAATCAACTTCTAATTATAATCATACAACTTCAGAAGATTGTCCTTCATGGCAACTGAAAAACCTTTCTCAATCAGTTGTCCCACACTCATCATATTGCTTTTCATGCCAGATATATACCACACATTCTATATCACTGATGCTTCCGCATTGTTTAGAATGACTCTGACATTTCCCATACCTTCTGCATTGAGGTATTTATCATCAACACATCTGATCTTTATACTCTTCCCAGAGTCAAAATCAACCAACCATTTCTTTTTTTTAGTAAGATGGTTTGAACACCCTATGTCCATATACCATCATTCTGGTGAGTTCATATCATCAGAATCAGAATCCAACAATAGCACAAGTTCATAATCATACTCTCCTATGGCTATATTTACTTCTTCTGACTTCCTTTCTTTGTTTGACTAGCAATCTTTGGCATAGTGAACAATGTTCTTGCAACATTAACACTGAACATTCTTCTTGTCAACCTTCTCCTTTCCCTTATGGACATTCTTCTGCCTATCAGAGGTTAAGGCTTCTGACCTCTGACCACTATTAGTTTTCTTTCTGGCTTCTAACCAAGTCTGCTTCTGATACTTCTTACCAGAAGTTACTTTCAGAGCCTGCAACTCTACTTCCCTCTCAGAAGTTCTCTCACTCATGTGCCTCTATACTACTTTGTAGCTCTTCAACTTTCATGGTGCTCAGATCTTTGGAATGTTTAATTTCTACCACAATGTAATCAAACTGAGAAGTTAAAGATCTCAATACCTTCACTATGATTACTTGTTCAAAAGTGGTTTCTCCATAAGCTTTCATCTCATTAGTGATCAGAATCACTCTAGAGATGTACTTAGAAACCTTCTCGTTGTCCTTCATGTTGAGATTCTCATATTGCTTTCTTAGAGACTGAATCTTCACCTTCTTCACTAATACATCACCACCGTAACATCTGACCAGTGTGTCCCACACAACCTTTGTTGTTTCAGAGTCAACAATCTTCTCAAACACATTCGCATCCACACACTGATGGATGTAGAACAATACTTTCTGATCTTTCTTCCTTATCGCCTTCTGCGTTGTTTTCTGTACCTCCGCCGCGTCTTTTACTAATGAAGCATAACCATAGGTGACAGGATCTAACATATATTGAGAACTAAACAAAATATGCATCTGGATCTTCCAACGATTTCAGTTTTTACCATTAAACACTGGAAGCTTGAAACTGATATCGTTGTTTCCGTTCATCTTCAACCTTTTGCAGTTCACTCAAAACTCACTAACACACAGTGTTTTCCAAATCCCACATAATCAGAAAAAATGTTATTCTCAATCACACAACACCTCACTGTTCACTCGTGTTTCCCGTATTTCCCTATGAATTTCAAACCGGAACTCTAGATACCAATTGTTGGTGGACAAAGAAGACATGAAAGACAAAAAAATATATTAAATGACGACTACAAAATAAGGAGTAATAATTACATTTACCTACCTAGTACTAGGCTATTTATACACAATATTAAAATATAATAAAATACTAGAATATCCTCTAACAGACTTAGTCAACAAGACATTTCTAAAATATAAATTATTTCTAACAAATTTTACCCCATATTAAAGCTAAGAATGTGATAAAATTTAGTGACGGCCAAAAAGAAGAAAAAAATTAAATATCACATGTTTTAAAATCATTCTTCAATTTTTTATAAATATGCTATATATTAAAATAAAATACAAAAAATTACTTATGCATTATTTAAACAATGATTTTTTACCACATATTTATATTAAATATGAGGGAAACTTATCTAGAATGAGTTTAGCCTCGATTCCAATGTGATTTTTTTTTTTATATTTTAAAATACACTATTTTGCATGATTAAAATGATTTTTGTTTTTTAATAATTATTTATACATATTTAAATTTAAAAAAATAGGAAAACTTACATTTATATTTTTCAAACTATGTATTTTTTCGCATTTTGAAGAAAAAATTGTGAATAAAAAATAATTTTTAATAAAAGGTTAAATGTGTACAATATTTAGTTCAATCAAAATACGAGGTGGGATGCATAAGGAGTGTGCACAATATTTAAAACATGAATGACACGATTGGGCTTCGGTGGTGAAATGAGCAGCCCAAAGTTGCAATGGACAACTCCAAATCTAAAAGAAGACAATTTTTTTTTCATTCTTATATTTTTCTCTCACATCTTTGAAAATTTGAAAATGTTTTCGAACAAAAATGTATTTTTGGACGCATCCTAAATCACTCCATCCTCCGTAAATCAAGCAACCATTCCGTTTTTGTTAAAAATTGATTCGGAGATGCATTTCTAATTTTTTTTTAGAGTGAATTCGAAGATACATCTCCGAAAATACTCATGACCCTATTTGCTACACGTTTGCCATTGAAATTGACGCCGTTGTCGGAGACTCTCTATCAATTTTAACTAATATTAAAGTCATAGGAATTGTATCCTTGTGTTCTGGCCCTATCCTCGCGTTCTGGTCCTTACATTTCTATATTTCTGATCTTTACGCGACCTAATATAAGAATTCAGTTTTTTTTAAAAATTAACTCTAAATTAAAATTTTATCCAAAAAAAAAATTAGAGATCAAAGTCTCTCACTTAGAAACTCGAAGGTAAGGGTGGAAAAAATTGCTCCAAAAGAAAAACTTTTTAGTCCACTTAAGAATTTATTTAAAATATTAAAATTTTATTTTTTCATTGTTGATTGTCATTTGTAAAGCTGTCAATATAGGTTACTCGACCCTAAGCGAGCCGGTTCTAATAGGTTTGGACTTTTTAGGACTAAGTTAAAAAAGTCTTATTGTAATATAGACTTTAAAATTATCATCCCAACTCAGTCATTGATAAGTTTCAAGCTATTTGACTCTAAACGGGTTTTTTTTAATAAAAAATTCATAATATTTATTATAAATAAAATAAAAAATTATAGTATTTTAAACATAATACATTTTTAAGTACTACATTATCTTTTATAAATACTATAATGTATTTTTAAATACAATACATGTCTAAATGGTAGAAAATAATATTAAATATTTAACATAAATGAAATTAATAGAATACGAAGAAAGAACGTTAATTATATTAATATATAATATTTAAAGAGAAAGATTGAATATAATAGAGACAAAATTTAGTGAAATGAGAAAAATCAATTTATTATTTTAAAGTAACACAATATAAAAATTAATGTAATATTTTTAAAATTTATATTCGAGTCTAATAGACTACCCACGGTCCATAAAAATCAGCCTTAATGGATAGCAGACTTTTTAGTCTAGACTAAAAAAACTCTTAAAAATATAGATTTTAATTTAAACGTTCAAATTTATAATTTAAAGAGATCCATCTATTTTACCACCGCTAATATATTAAATTAATAAATTATTTAAAAATTTAAATTGATGATTAAGATTTTTAAAAAATTTAAACATTATTTTTTTATTAAATCACTAATGTGAAACGGAAACAAAGCTATTTTTTTTTCCTAGTTACAAACATTTTAATGTAAATTGAATTATCAAATAGTAGATTTTAAAATTTTACTTTTGATCTAATAGTTATGGACCACTGATTTGAACTAAGACCTCCAATTTGATTTTAAAAATTTAAATTATTTAAATTTTTGATATATATATATATATATATATATATATATATATATATATATATATATATATATATATATATATATATATATATATATATATATATATATATATATATATATATTCTCTTTTTAGTAGTTGGATTTGGTTAAACTAGATGGTTGTCTTTTAGTAGAGACTTGTTCCCTTCAATTGTATTTTTATTTTTATGAGAGTAGACTTGTTCTTTTTTTTTATCTTCTAACAAAGTATTAAAACAAAATAAAATAAAATAGTAGGTGAAAATATTCGAAATTATATCATCATATCATTTAGTTTTGGACAGCAGTTTTACAGCGCATCACATGAGTTGTTTATGTAATTGCCAATAGACTTATTCCAGACCTTGCTTCTAGTATGTTCTATGACTATATTTTTTTCTCTTCTAATTCTATTTGATAACATTAAGATAAACTTAATTAATGTGAATTATAAAAGCAATAAGAGAAAATGGACTAATTATAAAAACTTTGATTAGCTATATTTTGGAAATTTTGCTCATTTTGCTAAACTCATTTTCTTTTAGTATGATTGTTTAAAAGCTAGAAAGAAAAAAGATTAAAAATGACTTATATGACAAAAACCACTCCTCTTTTTGTCCCTCTTAAAAGTCAACACCTTTTTTACAAAGATACTATCAAACAAATCATAAGCCATTTAATTTGACTTTTACATGTACAATGTGGTAGCCACTTTCATCATTTGCCTATCCATTAAGAATAAGACATAAAACCTTTTCTTATGCTTATTAGGCCATCTCAAAATTCTATGTCTATTCATTCTTGCTTCTTCCTCTTTTTCTACTTCCTTTTGCCTTCATCTCTTAATCCTCCATAATCTTATTCTTCTTAGTTCAAACATATGATACTACTAATACCGAAAGGCATCAATATAGTATGTAACTGTAGAAGTTAATCTTCTGGGTCGTTCACGTATACTTTTCAATTTCCATCATATGTACACATGACTCCATCTTTTCTTCAACCTCATTGTTCCTTCCTCGTCAACATCGTTCTCTTCCTCACACTCTTTTTAATCCCAACACAAGTCAATAGTGATGCTAAAAGCTACAAATCATGTGCACCTTTTACCTGTGGAAACTTCACCAACATTACATATCCATTTTGGAATATCAACGATCAACCAAGTTATTGCGGCCATCCAAACTTCACGCTCGATTGTCAGAAAAACAACTTGACTATTGACATCAACTCACAAAAGTTTCATATCATTGATATGAATCAAACATCACAACTCTTAAAGATTGCAAGGTTGGATTTATGGAGTTATGATGCTGCTAATGTCACTTCTTGTCCTGATACTAATGTGAACTTGAATTTGGATTTCTTCAAGTACACTTCCAATGACGAGAATTATAATTTATTGTCCGATTGCGACCCTCTTCCTACTAATTCATATGGATCTCCTTTGAGTTCAGAAGTTTCTCAAGAGATTTCTTGCCTCATAGATAGTAAACCTCAAGATGCATATTTAGTATTAAATACTAAAATGGCGGATTTCACGATCCTAGAGTGTAAGAACAATATCCAAGTTTATGGCCCAAATAGCTCTATTATAGAAAATTCTGATACAGGAGTGGTGAATGTTTTAAGGGAAGGGTTTGAGGTTGGGTGGAGTGTTGTGGAGGAAGATATATGCAATTATTGCAAGAAATATGGTGGGAGATGTGGATACAATACAACCAAAAATGCATTTATGTGTATTTGTCCTAATCAACTGTCTTTTGGTGATTGCGGATTTTGTCGCCAGAATTCAACAACTGCTATTTGGCCGGATGAGTCGGGTTGCGTAGGATCCAAGTTGTTTAAATCTGTGGCACCATCACCTCTACGAGAACCATCTTATGGAGGAACACCAGTGCAAGCATTAGGACCAGCTTTTGGTTCAGATTCGAAAAACTCTCGTGGCACTTCGAGTATGTTTTCTTCCTTTTCGCGATATTTTATTAGATTCTTCTGTCGAATAATCTTGATCTTAAAATGCATTTAGACAGCTTTTAAAAGTTTATAAGCTGCTTTTGGTTTATTTCAATAATTTCCTAGTTTAGAGCTTATTTAATAACAGTTTATAATCAGCATTATCAATTTGATTCTAAATATTTTATAGATTAAAACTTATATAAAACATCAAGACAATGAAGGTTCTAATGTTTTGGATTGTGAGTTTAGATTTTAGTTTAGAATTAAAAAATATTTGCTAGTAGTTAGGACTTGAATCCACTCTTGCTCGTTAGGCAGAGCTTAATTTCTTAGCTTAATACATAATAGTTTGATTGCGTGTTCAAGAATGCATTTTGGTTGGAATGATTCCCTTTGATCATTTTATTCATCATATGTAGAAGTTTGTATAGTTTATTAAAATAGGGTATGAAACTATTTTAGACTGTGTAATAAGATAACGTATTCGAATTTTTAAATGTGTTTTATAGTTGGCTGACATTGACTTTTAAAGATAATTAATATATAATAATGAACATAAACATTTAAAAAGTCATAGTAGTGGTTGGATTTCAAAATATAAAATCTCAATGGAAAGATGATAGCAACTCTTACCAAACGAATATAAAATCAAATAAGCAGACAAATTATACAAGGGAAACAAGCTTCCATATGGTGTTGAAGTTTTCAAACAGGAAAATCAAAATTTGTCTCTTGATTTTAAGCTAAGATATATTTAGTCAGTGAGAAATTAAAAAACTTATTATCTATTTAAAATGTCATCTAGTATATTTTCTATGTCACTATTGGTTTAGAGTTAAAAGACCTCTAATAAAATGTCATCCATGTCCTAGCTTATAGAACTCGACCTAGATGAAGGGAGTTGGTTATAGAACTCGACCCAGATGAGGAGAGTAAGTTTATAGAATTTGGCCCAGATGAGAGGAGTTGGTTATAGAACTCAACCCAGATGAGGGGAATAAGTTTATAGAACTCGACCCAGATAAGGGGAATAAGTTTATAGAACTCGACCCTGATAAGGGGAGTAAGTCATAGAACTCGACCCGGATGAGGGGTGTGTTTGAAAAGAGGTTTGCAAGAGGTGCGAAGTGCGCTTCGACTTCTACCGAATCAGAGCCTAATGAGGGTGACCGATTTTGCGAGAGGCGTAAAATATGATTTAACTTTTTTCAAGATCAGAGCCCCATTGTAAGGTTGACCGTGGTAGGAAAAAGCCTTAGCAAGGGTGAAGCCGAGTTTGCGAGAGGCGTAAAGTGTGCTTTGACTTTTTGCCGGAACAGAGCCCCATTGTAAGGTTGGTCGTGGTAGGCGAGAGCCTTAGCGAGGGTGAAGTCGAGTTTGCGAGAGGCGTAAAGTGTGCTTCGACTTTTTTAGGATCAGAGCCCCATTGTAAGGTTGGTCGTGGTAGGCGAGAGCCTTAGCGAGAGTGAAGTCGAGTTTGCGAGAGGCGTAAAGTGTGCTTTGACTTTTTGCCGGAACAGAGCCCCATTATAAGGTTGATCGTGGTTAAAGCGCATGCCTATTACTTTAGGAACCTGGGTTCTAGCCCCAGTGGTACCCTTTGTTGAGATCTGTGAAGTCAATGCACGTGCACCATTTTCCTATCTTCTTTTTAACCATTACCATGTTGGCCAACCATGTAAGGTATTTAACTTCCTTGATGAAGCTGACGTCGAGCAACTTCTCGACCTCGTATTTTATGGCCCTCTTCTTCTCTTCCCCCCTTTCCTTTTCCTCTGAGATACCGATTTGGTATCTGGGTTCAAAGCTAGGTGGTGGCACATGAAGTTGGGGTCTATCCCGAGTATATCTAAAGGCTTCCAAGCAAATAAGTCTATATTTTCTTTCAATAGATCAACAATCTTCACTTCTTCTTCTCGGGAAAGGTTGCATCCTATGTAAGTTACTTCGGAGGGCGTGGTGCCGATCTGGACCTTCTTTGTTTCATCGTGGGGGGAAAGGATTTCTTCCCGCGTATCATCCTGAGGGTCTGTGTCAATCATGTTGATTTTCAGCTCATTGGATCGTTTGGGCCCATCAAATTGTATCTTCTTTAACTTCAGACTATCCTTATAGCATTTCCTGACTAATCCTTGGTTGCTTTTGACCACCCCGACTGTTCCCCAGGGGGTATTTCATGGTGAGGTACAGGGTGGATAGAGCGACTTCTAAGACATTGAAGAAAGATCTCCCTATGATAACGTTGTACAGTGAGGCCTTAATCTGATAGTTTTGGAATTCTCCCCACTTTCGAAGGTAGTGAGTACCAGGAGATGTCCCAATACTTGTACTTGTTCTCCGGAGAACCTGACCAGGGTGCCGTTGAATGGTAGTAACTCGGACGTATCGAACTTCATTCCCTTAAAGAATTCCTAGTAGAGTACATCAGTCGGGCTGCCATGGTCCACCTGTACTCTTTTCACGCTCCAGTTTTGGACTTGTACTTTGATGACCATAGGGTCGTTTTCGTGGGCCATAATATCGATCACATCCCTCTTTTAGAAGCTAACCCGATTGAGGTCTTATTTCCGGACCTTGGTTATGTCCTCGGATACGTGCATCACGATGCAAACATACTTCTTTCTGGATGAACTGGTTTCGCCACCGCCAACGAATTCGTCGGTGATTGTGTTGAGTGTGTGGTGAGCTGTCTTGGTCTCACGCACTTCTTCAATATCTTTCCCCTTCTTCTGGGAAGGCTCTTCTGGGTCTGTATCCTTTTGTTGAGTATCTCTTTTACTAGCTGGGATTTTTCCATCTTTGACATAAGTCAGCAAGTGCCCCCTCTATATCAATTTCTCGATTTCCTTCTTCAATTGGAGGTAATAGTTGATGTTATGCCCTCGGAGTCGGTGATAGTTACACCAAGCCCCCGATGTTATTTCCCAGTACGGTGTTGACATTCCATCTACAGGGTGCTTCCGAGATTAGGTTGAGGTGTGCTACCTCCTGCAGGATATCGCCTCTCCTTGTGTTCAAAGGTGTCTCTGTGTCACCTGAATCAAAGGGACGCCAATTAGGTCTCTGAGTCGTGCGTTACCAGGGTCTGTCTCTTGAGTTCACCCGGGAGGACTCCTGTTTCCTTCCCGATCCTTCTTCTTTGGTCTTGTTTCTCTCATGGGCATCCCTGGTCCCTTTTTCTAGATTGTTCTCCTCGCCTTTTATATAACAGTCCGCCTTGGTGATGATCTTGTTCATGTCGGACGCAAGCTTCTGGGCTAAGGATTCATTAAACTATCCGGCTCGGAGGCCGTGTTAAAATGCCCTAACGAACAGTTCTTGGTTTGGGTGAGATACTTTGATGGTCTCATCGTTGAACCGGGCCATGTATTCTCGAAGAGACTCCGCTTGACCTTCCCAGACGTTAAACAGGGAGGTCGTGGACACTTTGGAGTGTTTGCTAGCGGAGAAGTGTTAGATTAATTTTTTCGTCAGGTCCGCATAACTTTCCATGGATAGTCATGGTAGGCTTATGTATCACCGCAGAGCCACTACAACTCCTCTTTTGGACCGTCGTCCCCTACGCTTCTTTGATGTAGGTTTGTGACACTATCCTGTAGAGTTTTGTTCTGCTGTCTGAGGGCCTCCACCATGACTAATAGTTGTGCCATGTCTGGAGATTCTCCAGACGACGACATTCTGCAAAAGGTAAACTTTAAGACTAAGGGAAGATGTTGGATATTAATATGTGAGACACGTAAGCTAGTATGTCTATCATCACCAATTTGTTTAACAATATGATAACAACACAGAGGCATAACACTTTTATCGGTCTAGAGAATTAGTCGCAAGGTTTTCCAAATTATTAAACAATAGAGTATTAAATACAATGACATAGGTTTGATAAATCCAAAAGAATAGCACAATGACATAAGATTTGATTATTCTAATACAATTGCTAGTTGAAGGGATATCTAATTACAGTGAAATATATGTTTGAATCTCAAATATTCACTTTCAAGGGTAAAATTCCCACTATTAAATTATTAGGAAAAAATAGAACAATATAAGTAATTAAAATATTTATTTAGTTAATGATTAACATACTGAATTGTAATTGACATAAACAAGATAAATATCTAACTTGAGTTCAAATTCAAAATTCTACGATAAATAGATGTTAGAATACGTTAATATTTTAATATAAAAATAAATTTGAAAATTTTTCTTATATTATACTTTTTAGAAAAAATAAGTGTGTTTATGTGTTAGTTGAAAAATATTTCTCTTTGTTTAGATTAGAAATTTTAGATAATTTATTTTATTATATAAAAGAATTATTTGTTTCATTCTAAATACACTAAAAATTTCTATTAAATTTTTCTTTCTTATTTTCATAATTCTGTGTCAATTTTTTTTATTTTTTGAGTATTATTTTGAATTTTCTTTAGATGATTTTTTTAAAAAAAAATTTTTCAATAGAGTTGAGAAATTATAAAGTATTATATTTGAATTTTGTTTGAAGAATTACTCAAATTTTTTGATTTGAAAAATTATTTTAAATAATCAAATGATTATTATTGAATTTTCTTCAAAGAATGATTCAAATTTTTCTCGTTTGAGAAATTATTACGAACGATTTTTATACTAGATATTACCAATGATATTTATATCATATTTAAATTGTCTTTGTACAATCATAATGTACATTTCATCAAAACGTCTTAAAGAAAATAACATAATCCACGACTTGATTTAGTAATTTCAATAGTAATTTTTTAAAGTCGTAAATGGTAGATGATAAATGTTGTAAAATTTCAATAAAATTTATGGTTCTTTCTTATTTTATGATATGGTGATTAAGACTCCGTTTGTAAACTATAGCTTAAGTCTACTACAAATATGCCGAGCTTGATAGTTTTCATTTTGTAGAGTGTATGTTTCATTAATCTAAAAATTAATAAATAAATAAATAAAATATAAGTAGGAAAGAGAGTGGAAATTTCGCGGGTGACTTTTGAGTTGACTATAGGACCCTGAGAAGCATGAAAAACATAACTCAACACACCCATCGATCATCACCTGAACTGCTTCCAAACTTTTTCTTCCTCATTCTCAACCCCAAAATAATGAAGAATTATCATAAGAATATCCCTATGCTCATAACCATTCAATACACCTCTTTCTTCTTCTACTTGTTATTCATAATAAGCACTTTTTTCCCACAAGTATCATATTCTCAACCTCAATCAGTTTATGATTATTCCATTTGCAAGGAACATTCCTACAACTGTGATAATCTTTCCAGCATCTCGTATCCATTCTGGGGACATGATCGTCCTTTTCAATGTGGCGCAGGAGCCCCATTTTACCTTGACTGCTACGAAAACAGCGTTACTACCATTCTAATATCATCACAGAATTTCACAGTACTTGATATCAACCCCACAACTTACACCATGAAACTCAAAAGAACAGACCTTTCTCTAAATATATGTTCTCCTCAATTTGATGATACTTTTTTGTCTCTACCTCTGTTTCAAATTCAACATCTCCCACAATTCAAAAACATCAACATATACTACAATTGTACTTCTCCTCCAATTCCATCTGAAAAATCTCTATGCGGATCTCAGAATCTCGCTTTTGCTCAACTTGCCGATGATGACTCTAATGCCTTTGAAGAATCCATGAATTGTACGAGACGTGTTCAAGTCCCATTAGGAGCAGGTTTTCATATAGATGATTCTTATGGATATAATTATTTTTTTAAGCGTGATGTTCTTGAAAATGGCTTGGATGAAGGGTTTGAGGTGAGTTACAGTGTGAGTGGGGAATGTTTAGAGTGCTTGGGAAATCAAGAAGGAGATTGTAAGTGGAAGAATAATACTGAAATTCAGAAACACGTTATCTCCTCTTGCTATTATGGGATATGTCCAGATGGATCTATGAATTATTCCTCACAATGTTCTTCTATTCACAAAAGTATGTTTCCTTATCTCTTTATCTCATAAATTAATTAAATAGGTTTTCAGGGTAATGGTATGTTACCTTGCGATTTTCGATATTTTTCATAATTTGGTACAAATTTAGGACATCAATGAATCAACTACTCTCATTACAACAAAATAAAACTAATTAGCTTTTTGGTGATTGAAAATTTGGCCATTTGTTTCGTGGAGCAGAGCAATGAATCCGTTGAAGCTTTTCTACATATACATTTTACTTGGGATCACAAATTTTTTAGTCCAGTAGTTAATGAAATTTCACTTAAAGATGAATGATTAGAATGTTTCCTTCAGTTGGATGTCGTCTTTGCAAAACTACCAACTCAGTTAACACAAGATCATAAATTTTATCATGGATTCATAGGCTAAAATTTTCACTGACTCAGTCAAGGAAATAATAAATGAAGGAATTAGGAAATGTGACTTGTCCTTCAATTGACTTGACTTAATCAGCTTATCTGGAAACAACTACTACATTTTACTACTAAGGGTATATTGGTGATTTCACTTGTCAAAAGAGTTGTTGAATTGCATTTTGTATGCATGTGCAATCAAGTCTTTGTTTTCCTTCTTTTGGGTCCAACACGTCTTTCACAATCATACACTTCATTTTCTTCTTTCCCCTATTTTCCGTCACAAATTAAAGTCATTTCATCCACTCATTTTTCTCCTTAGAAAAGACTAACAATAAGTTTAAATTCTTAAATCTTGGTATTACTATTCAAATATCCTTTACTCAAAACTATGTGCAACAGAACCTATAGATTACCTTACATATGAAGTAGAATGTGCGAAAAATGCTACCCATTATTCTTTTGTTGTTTTTCATAAGGAGGCACTTGAGCACAAAACTATTCTTTGAATGAATGTGAGTTTAAGGTTAATGCTAGTGTTAGTTTCACTAGTTTGTTGAAAATGAACTATATTGATATTTTGAAGATGGGGTTTGTTATAAATTGGACTGCACCTGATTGTCAACACTGTGAGAAAATGGTGGAAGATGTGGATTTGATAATTATAAGTTCATATATATGTTTCTGCAAGGATAAGTCCTACCTCAAAATTTGTGGTGGAGAAGATGGTAACACTTTTGGAAATATTCTTATCATTAGTTTGGTGTGAAGTTTCTATTCAAATACAGTTCCTCAAAATGTACATATGTTTATGTTTGTTATACACAAGTCAAATATTCTCTTTGAATTCGAACAACGCTGACTCATCTTTGTTTTCACAACTTACTCTTGCAGGTAAATTGAATGTGAAGAATAAAATCGTCATTGGTAATAAATCCAATTTTCTTTGATATAATTATCACTTTTTTCGTGTAAATACGTTGTTAACATAATTTGTATGCTTAACTTTCCTATATATATATTTTTTTGCTAGCGGTTGGTTCTGCCGTGATAGGAGCATTTGCAGTGATCATAGCCATATATTTCTATAAGCGCCGGAAGAATACGAATAAAAGTTATGCAAAATCATATGCACAGTCTCGCAGCCTCTCTTCTGAACTCACTTCAAAGGATCTCGAGAGTGGAAGTCAATACTTTGGAAGAAGCCAAAACTTTGGAGTGCAACATTTTACTTATAAAGAACTTGAAGAAGCCACAAACTACTTCGATCCATCTAAAGAACTAGGAGAAGGAGGCTTTGGGACGGTTTATTACGGTAAACGCTAACATCTTTTCGTAGTGGAAATGGATTCCTTGCGGTTAATAGTCCGTTTTGTTTATTGTATTTAGATTTTTTATACTTTATTTGATCCTAACAAAGATATATGTCGTACGATGTTTCTTGTTTAGGAAAACTGTATGATGGGCGTAGTGTTGCGGTGAAGAGGTTATTTGAGAACAATTATAAAAGAGTTGAGCAATTCAAGAATGAAGTTGAAATCTTGGCATCATTAGTCCATCCGAATCTTGTGTCTCTGTATGGATGCACTTCACGTCACAGTCGCGAGCTTCTACTTGTCTACGAGTATGTTTCTAATGGAACGGTGGCTGATCATCTCCGTGGTAAAGAAGCAAAACATGGAAAACTTACATGGCCTATTAGAATGAATATTGCCGTGGAGACAGCGAGTGCGTTGAAGTATCTTCATATTTCTGAAATCATTCACCGAGATATAAAGACAAATAATATTCTTCTCGACGCTCATTTTCATGTCAAGGTAGCCGATTTTGGACTCTCGCGCCTTTTTCCATATGATCAAACCCATGTTTCAACGGCTCCACAAGGGACTCCGGGTTACGTGGATCCTGAGTACCATCAGTGCTACCAACTTACCGATAAAAGTGATGTCTATAGCTTTGGAGTTGTGATGATTGAGTTGATATCGTCTTTGCCTGCGGTTGATATAACAAGACATAGGCATGAAATCAATTTGGCTAGCATGGCTCTCAACAGAATTCAAAACCAAGCATTGCATGAAATTGTGGATCCTACGCTCGGTTTTGAATCCGATTCTAAAGTAAAGAAAATGATCGTTGCCATGGGCGAGTTAGCATTTCAATGTCTGCAAAGTTCGAAAGATATGAGACCTAGCATGGACGAAGTGTTGGAAAGCTTAAAGGATATTCAAAATGGTGGTAAGCATAAAAGCCAACCCGAGGTAATGGACATTTCGAGTTTATCTGATGATGCTGTGCTGCTGAATAATGTTCCACCTCCACTATCACCTGATTCGAATGTTAGGAGCAATTATACAACGCCGAATACTAGTGGATAAATCGGTTGGTTTGATATGTTCTTGATAGTTTTTAATACTTCACCCATACAAGGTTTATATTTTCGAAATTTTGTAATCACTGAAATGTTAATCCAGGCATAAAATTTATCAAACCGTAGCATCCAGTAAGTTGCAGCCAGATAACTTTTGAAATGATGTATATATAGATGAGATGATATAATGTTGCATTGGTTATGGGACTTCATGTTTTGATGATTTTATTTAGATGTTTAATAATATGTATTTTTTTGTAATACTTACAAGTTTATATGCAACGAACTTCTTTTCAAGTTTATATACAATGAATTTCTTTTCTTCTTTTTAATAGTATTTTGTGATAATCTCGTGATTATCTGAAATCCAATGGTGATTTACCAACCACACCAACCCTCAAATCTCAATCACTACAAGTTTATATCAAAAGTGATATATAAAAAATTAGTTTTCTTACAATTTAGTCTAGTCCTTTCATCTAATTAACAACAAGTTTATAGACTAATTTCTGAATTTTTTCGTCATTAATTAGATAAAAAAGACTAACGTAATACATTTCGAAGAGTTACGAGACCTATATATAATTTTTTTTAAATTAACAAACCAAAATGAATCTCAAAATTAACATATGAAATCAAAAATGATATTTAACCTAAATATTATATCAATCGAGCCCTGAATATTCAATATTTGTGGTTTTGAATAATATTTTCAATTGATGTTTGACATCACTAATGAGAAATGAAACATAACTATCAGAAATATTCACCTAAAAAAATAAAGGTGTTCATAGGTACGAGTCGACCCGCGAACCTGCTGACTAAATTGAACTAACTTATAAATTACTCGAATTCGTTCAGTTATGGATAGACTCTACCTAACCCGCAATAATCTGTGCAGTTTTGATTCAAGTATCGAGTTTGATTTTCTCTAACTGTAGTTGGCATGCGAGTCAAGCTTTCTATTCTTTGGAACACTATTTGTAAGTGTGAAATCACATCCTTGAAAAAAGGTTTTTCTTTTTTTAATTTTCCTTCTCTTCTTTAGAAGATGTTCGTAGAGTTAGATCATTGAGTTCTTGGAATGTTAATCCTGGCCTTCTTAAACTCTTCCTTTAGTATAAGGATTTTGTTCTAACTATCATTAATCAAACCTCAGCATAGTTATGGGTTCAGATTCATGGCCTTTTTCAAGAATATTGGAGGCCAAAGATCATTTTTGCCATTGTAATAACATAGGTACTTCAATATGTATTGACACTGCATCCAACAAATATTCATCTGATAGAGCTTTTAGGCATTATGTGAGGGTGCTTGTTGATCTAGATTTGCTTATTTGAGGTACAAAACTTAGTTGAAAGTGTTCGCTTTGCAATGGAAGGGTTGGCCCAATCCATTGATGTAGCATTAACGATTTTGATTCGAGTATCGGGTTTGACTTTCTCAACCCGTGGAATGGTTGGCCCAATCTATTGATGTAACATTAACGATTTTTTTTTATAATTATTTTAAATAAAATATAAAATTAATATATCACTACAAACCACATTTTGCCAAAAAAGTTATACATCACCAATACTACTATTAGATCGATGAGTTTACATAACTTTAAAACTAAGTGTTGTTTTTCATTTTCTTTTGTATCCTGTACAACTTACATATTTTATAAAATATCATTGGAACGATGGATGACTTTAGCTCTACTGCTCTGGCAATTCTAATATCATTGTTGACCTATTACTGACTCTTCTTCTTCCTTTCTTCTTTATAATAATGTGTAGCAGTGAAAATTTGAGATTAAACTATTGATTAACTTAACATAGAAAGTGAAAGTTGTCACCACATTTTATTGTTTCCAGAGGAATGGGAAAAGAGCGAATAAAACTCAAAGAAGTTTTTAACACAAAAAACTAATAAAAACAAAGATCTAGGTAAGTGGTTGGTTATGCAAAGGGAAGGTATTAGCACCCTAAACATTTAGGATACTCCGCATGAATCTCTTTGAAAATCTGTGTATTTGGCTAAAAAGAGTTGTTTGCAAAATGTTTGTGGAGATGAGAAAATAAATGGTTTTTACAATTTTGATTCGAAAAAACTACAATGAGCTTTTTGCCTACGTACCATCAATGTACAATGATGAAATCAAAACCTCGTAGTTCTTCTGAAAAAGAACAAAATTGTTGGTTGGTTAATTTTAAGAGAAGAGATATTTTGTCATATTAGGGAGAATACTCAACCAAATATCCATAAACATGTGAAAGATCGACCTTTACATTACAAGTGAAATGAGGGCTTTAACCTGGATAACTCAACATGTATTCCACTAACCCCTTTAAGTGAAAAAGATTCAACATCATATCAGTCAAAGTTAGGAACCAGGGAGAATTATATCTCAACCATAGAGATGACTCACATCAAATATTTAAGAAAATGTTTTAAATCAAAAAGCCAAATGGGAAAAAGGTTTGAAGTGAGGTTTTGTATTTTTATGTCTTAAAAGAAAAAGGTTCAACTTTTATTACATGGATTAAAGTTTGATTAAGAAAAAGGTTTTGAAAATGAATTTTGTTATTCTTGCACATTCATCATGTTTTAATGGTATAATCTTGTTCATTAACACATTTGCAAGCTGTCTATACCGTTTAATTTCGTTTTTGTAGACTGTATCAAGATTCACCATTGCTAGGTTTTGTTGGCTCGATTTGGGATCTTTACGTAAAAGTGAAATTAGCCCTCAAGAAGGGTACCATCGTACTCAGCAGGCCAAGACGAATCAATTCATGGCCTTAGATTTTATTTATCTTGCTTATGCTTGATTTTGAGAAATTACAGGGTTATAGTGACGGACGTTGTCCGTAGGTAAAGGTCTTCAAACCTTTTAGCCACGGAGAGGGGATAGGGATGATGGCGTGGCATCACCCTACTCGTCCATTTGAATTTCCGCGCGAATTTCTTTTTATTTCGCTTGTTTATAATATAATAATTGTTGTTTATGTTGTATACAACTAACACGCGCAGCTCAGTTGGTGGCCAGGTCATTGGAAAATGCTTTGGGGCCTGGGTTCGAATCCCAGGTCGCCCTTATTATTTCTTGTTATTTTCATTCAGGTAATTAAGCGCGTATACAAACCAAGAGACCACCATGTGACCTCATGATCCAATCAGCCAGGTGTCCAGGAAGTCAGATCTGATGGCTACACTACGTCGAAAAAGACTTACGAAAGCGCTTTTTTTTTATCTTTAAAAGCGCTTAAAAGCGCTTTCGTAGGTGGCGCTGCTATAGGTTTTAGCAGCGCTTTTTGTTTAATGAAAAACGCTTTCGTAGGTCTATCTAATACAACACTTTTTCTAAAAAGCGCTCTCTTAAGTAGGCTTTTGGCAGCGCTTTTTTATGAAGAAGCGCTTTCATAGGTCTACCTAAGGCAGCGCTTTTTTCTGGAAAAGCGCTCTCATAAGTTTTCTTTTAGCAGCGCTTTTTTCTGGAAAAGCGCTGTCTTAGGTAGGCTTTAAAAAGCGTTGTTTTAGCAGCCACAGACTCTTTGTATTCATTGCGTTGCCATTGCCCATTTTTCTCAACCACACATGAAACAAGAGAATTGAGCATGATTAGTACAAGCAATCAAAAGAAAAACATAAGAGAAATAAGAGAATTCACAAGGCTTAAGGTTCTATTCACAATTTCATCACTAGGAATTGTTGAAGGAATCAAAAGTGCAGAAAGTAAATCCATCATGAATTCAAAGCCCGACAACATCAGACTCATATTACTTTTATCTCACACAAAAATTAGGAAGTACAATAATAATCATGGCCCAACAATTCACTTTACTACAAATCACAAACAAAGTTTGGTTCACAATAAAGATTGGAATCAAAAGAAACGAGTTACTGCAAGTTCAGGTCACAACATCACAATTACATAACAGTAAAAACAGGACAGTAAAAAATTCACATCGGAGAAAAATCAAACAACATTTTCACTGCAGTAACATATCACAAACCAAGAACAAACAATAATCAGAAAATCACAAAAGCCCAGTATGAATTGGAAGAGAGAATTAGGTCTGTTAAACAAATAAGAGGACCCAAATAGAAAACCCTAATTTCACAGTATATAAGCAATCAATGCACATATTTCAAGGAGGGATACAATTGTTCATAACCACAAAACTCATAAACCCTAAATCTCATCATTTTCCTTCTAGTCGAAAATTCCTTAAGAAATCACAAGTCTTAGAGAAGCAAGAAGCAAGATACGAGCCTTAACTCACCAAATCTCGAATATGTCTATACTATCTCTAAACCGTGTCATCTTCATCATCAACCTTTCATAATCATTTTTGCAACTTGAATCACATCAACACAACCTCAACAGCGAGAGAACGGAGGCGAGCCTAAGGTCGAACCATGGTAGAGTATGTTTCAGTGGCGGACAAAAGGAGCATTCACAGAGGAGCATTCACAACTTCTTAATAACTTATATGACAGTAGAAACCATGCTTGCTCAAAATTATTAACCAAACAAAAGCACACGAAAACTAGACAAACACATACGAGATGAGGAAAAAAATGAAACTTGATACGAATTGCAGTTGGCCGGAGAAGTGGAGCGCCGTTGACCGCCGTAGAAGCTCTGGTTTAGGATTTTTTCGTGAAGAAAATCTGACTGAGAATAGAAAAGTGATACGAATTGTGTTTTGATATTTATTATAAAACTACCTACGAAAGCGCTTTTAAAAGTGCTTTCTAAAGGTCATCTATAATAGCGCTTTTACATCAAAAAGCGCTTTCATAGCATATCCTATAGCAGCGCTTTTAAAAGCGCTTTCTAAAGGCCAACTTTAGCAGCGCTTTGGAAAAGCGCTTTCTAAGGCTGACCTTTAGCAGCGCTTTTGAAAAGCGCTTTCTTAAGGTACCCTCTGAAAGGCCAGCTTTAGCAGCGCTTCCCAAAAAGCGCTTTCTAAGGGTGACCTTTAGAAGCGCTTTTGAAAAGCGCTTTCTTAAGGC